AACACACATTTCAAGCTGTTCTGATACTCATTTTTCTACCTCCTCTTCCCTCCATCCCCTGTGACTCTCAGGCATTTTTCCAGGGCAAACTGAAGATCACAGGGAACATGGGCCTGGCCATGAAGCTCCAAAACCTCCAGCTGCAGCCGGGCAAAGCCAAGCTGTAGAGCAGATGCTTGGTCCAGTCCTCATCAACATGGAGAGGTTGCTTCCACAGAAACATTGGAGGCTGTAAGGAATCAATGCGGACGGACCGATCCACTTTTTCTCTTGGGTGATCTCACTGACCAAGCAGGGGATTAGTCAGAGCCCCGCCTGTCTAACTGGGGAATAGATAGATGGACAGATCATTAATTTCCTAATTGAGTTCCTGTCTGCGTGTTTTTTTAGTGTCAGTCTGCCAGATCTCAGACGGCTGCTCCCTACTTTGCTACTAATTGCATTTCTGTCCAGATTTTCTAACCCTCACCAATGATGAATTGTAACTTTGCGTGCTCTAAAACTGGAGCTTATGGACAATAAGTTGCTCAACCATGACTGCAGCTGTGTAAGTGCCTCCCTCAGTGTCTCTAATCAATGTTTGTAGTTAACCCCCCTAAACAGAGCAGTTTCTGACCAACATTTTATCTCTCTGGGCTGTAATTTCCTGCATTATATAAATTTGTCAGATTTCTTTGAAATAAAGTTGTCTTTACTGAACAGTTTGGTCTGTTTTTGGTTTTATTTGCTGCTCTGACTTTGACCTCATGTTCCTCAAACACATGGCAGATCCCAGGAGACGGTAGAAAGAACGAGGCTTTATTTTTCCAACTCTACGGCGACCTGATTCTGCACACTGACACGCTGCACATGGAGGAGCATGGCTCACACACAAATCTTTTAACTAGCTCTGACCCAGATTCCTCTGCAGCTTTGGCTCACTCTGATGTCACACTGGGGTTATTTTACTCGTCAGGAAAGACTGAAGTAATTGAATCAATGCCAATTCCCTTTCTGATTCGTTAGCCGAACTGAACTGTATGTTGAAGTTGATGAAGTGAATCTCTTAATCCTGTTTATAAAAACAGAGCAGAGAGCTTGAGAACAGAGGAAATTCTTGAGCAATGAAAGAAGTTTTTAATTTTGCCTTCAGGAACTTAAGGCACAGTATCACAGAATAAGCTCAGTTATGTACTGTACTGTGAACTCGTGTTAATATTCAGCAAGTTCTTTTATCTGACTTAATGATGAACACAAATGTTCATTTTCATCAGAAATTGTTTGCAATGTAAAATCACAAGTTTTTTTCCCCTAACATTTCAAACTGCTATTTGTGTATCAGTGTTATGTTTATCCCCTTTTTGACTTTTAGCTTTCTAAGTAGTTCTCTTTTGTTGATCTTGGGTAATTTCCTTCACGCTTATCCCGTGCGAAGTCATGAGGGGTCACCAGTCCATCACAGGGCAACACACAGACAAACAACCTTTCACCTTTTTCAAAGTAACGTGCCCAACACTGCTGTTGGGCACGTTACTTTGAAAAAGTAATTAGTTATAGTTACTAGTTACTTCTCCCAAAAAGTAACTGAGTTAGTAACTGAGTAAAAGTAACTTTTGCGAGTGTATGAAATTAATAACTGGGGATGTCTAATTCTGAAATCCTGTGTTTGGGTTGTTATAGATACTGCAACATGTAGCTATATCTATTCCTTCCTTCCTTCCTTCCTTCCTTCCTTCCTTCCTTCCATCCATCCATCCATCCATCCATCCATCCATCCATCCGTATTTCCCTCTTTCTCCATATAGGCTAATGATCGTTCACGCTCTCCGTAGTTCCCCTGTGGTGCGAGTACAGGGCGGCTGTTGCATGCCTATCATGAAAAAAGGTTAATTGTGCGACCTGAGTAACGTGCAGTAGCGGGGTGTCAGCAATTGCAACTGCGTTATAGTTACAGTAAGAGTAATCATTTTGATTACTCGTTACTAAAAAAGGTAGCGGCGTTAGTAACGCCGTTACTTTCAACGGCGTTACTCCCATCACTGCCCAACAGTCACGCTTTTGGACTGTTTGAGGAATCCGTAGTACCCAGAGAGAACCCACACATGCACAGGGAGAACATGCAAACGCCATGCAGAAAGACCCACCGGCTGGAAATCAAACCCAGAACCTTCTTGCTGCAAGGCAGCAGTGCTACCCTCTGCACCACTTTATGTTATATTTAAGCAGCCTTAAGTTACTCTCTGTTGCCCCCTTGTGCCAGTCTTTTTTCCCACCTAGCTCCTTTCTAGTCTCTACCATCCACACCTGCTCCATATCAGCTGATTACTCCAGTCTCTGTTCTGTCTCCCATAAACACTCTCCCTGTGCAGTTCTTCATTCCTTGTTGTTATTACGCTCATTATATGTTTTTTTTTCCTGACATCTTCTGTTTTTCTTGGGTTTTATTCTTGGATTTTGTTTTTGTTACCCTTTACGTCATTAAACCAACTAATTTCTGCCTCCCTAATCTCTGTATTTGGGTCCTCAACCGACCTCCACCCTCATGTTGACAATCAGGATGTATTGGATGATAGAAGTAAAAAAAAAAAAAAAAACACAAACCCCTCCTTAAAAGCTAGCTAAATAAGCAATTTATTTTAAATCTTAAAGGAATTATTAAGGAACCAAAATAAAATTCAAGGTCGTGCTGTAAAATTAACCATTTTCTGCCAGTCAATAAGGCTGGGTT